TTAAAAAAAGTTTCTAAAAAAACATTTGTACCAGGGCTGGGGGTTTAGCTCAGTCTAGCACACAAAAGGCCCTGGGTTCAATTCCCAGCCCTGTTAACAACAAGAAAGGAAAAAGGAAAAAGAAAAGAAAAGAAAAAAAAAAAACCAAACTTTCTTCTCTTGGGTCAAGATGAAGTAAAAGAAAATCCATTACTACTACTTCTTTGTCTTTAACTACTCAGGCTCAGTCCCGGATGGTAGAAGCAATACACAGCTAAAGGAAAGGGAGAATGAAAAGAAGCAAGCTTCCTTCATCTATAAGTAATGAGGGTCATTAATGGGGATGGAAGGAGGATCCTAGACACAGCTACAGTTACTTCAGCAAAAACTCACCATTTCCTTTCTTCCTACTAAGTTTCCTTTACTTTTAAGTTAGTCAGTCAAAGGGACAAAAAGGGATTCACACTCACTTGTAGGAGGACTGTCTTCACCAAATGCACACTAAAAAAAAAACCCTCAAGACAAGGTAGAAAACCAGTAGTGCACATTGGATGGTGTAGACCTTGAGAAAGCTACACTAAAGGAAAGGCATCAGTGAGACCTTTATCCCCTAAGGAACAAAACTCTCAAGCCTCTGATAAAGGAGGACCAAACCCTATCAGCCTAAGGCACAGGTGAAGAACTGTGCCCTACTGCAGCAGGGAAAAAAAGTAGAGAAAGTCCCAGGTTAGGATTCCATCTCAATACCATGAACAGACGCTACTCTGTGACAGGAATAGTATCACTAAGAAAGACTGAACCAACCATGAGATAATGGCACATGAATGAAGCAAAACAAAACCTGCCAGGCTAGCAGTCTTCTAATAAAGGAGAGACAAAAACATGGAGAAAGAACCCTCAAGAGGCACAAGTACACAGGAAAGGCCAAAAGCTAAGAATAGAGCAAGAATATTAAAGAAAAACTTTCCAAAGGCCTGGGGCCTTGGATTTGATTCCCAGCACTACAAAACAACAAAAAAATAAGTAAATAAAAATACCAAACAAGCAAAAAAAACTTCTGAAGAAAAAAACCTTCCAGTGCCACAGTCTCCACTCCAAACACAAGGATTAGAAGACAGGTAGTACACTGAAGGTAATCATAGAAAAACAAAACACAAAACTAGTTCAGCTCCTCCTTTAAATTGATTCAACTCATGAGACATGCCCTGTGTTAGGCATATTTTTTACATGAGTAAATAAATACAGAACATTAGAAAAGGGGGGGGGGGAGACACAAAGCAGCCAGGTGTGGTGGCACACTGCCTATAATACAAGCAATAAGGAGGGAAAGGCAGAAGGATGCCAAGTTCGAGGATAGACGGGGATAAATAGTGAGTCTGAGACCAGCCTGGGTTACATAGTCAGGTACTTCTTTTAAAGAGGAAGGAGGATGAAAGAGGTGGAGGAGGGAGGGAGGGAGGGACGGAGGGAGAGAGGGAGAGACAGAGAGAGAGAGAGAGAGAGAGAGAGAGAGAGAAAGAGAAAGAGAGGAAGCAAGCAACTGGGCTGAGAGGTGACAAAGACTTTCAAATTACGACACAGAAACTATGAATTTTTTGTGGCGAGGGCATCACATGCTAGGAACATGCTCTACCACTGAAGTACATCCCCAGCTCCAAATAACTATGCTAAATATGTTAAAAATCTATAGTAAAAAAGGTGAAAGCACACAAAAAAGATGGGAAATTCATCAGAAAGATGGAAATTACAAGAATTAGTCAAAAATGATACAAATCGAAAGTAGAAAACACTGGCCAGGTGCCAGTAGCTCTTAGCTGCTTGGGAGGCTGAGATCAAGAGAATTACAGTTTGAGGCCAGCCCAGATGAATAACTCAAGCAATAGAGTGCCTGCTTTACAAGCAGGAAGCCCTGAGTTCAAACTTCAATCCCACCCTCCCACCCCCAAAAAAGAAAAGAAAAGAAAAGAAAAAAATACTTGGAAAGCACATCATTACTTTTTTTACACAACCAGGAAAAGAATCAGGAAACTTAAAGATATGTCACAAGAAAAGTGCCCCAATTGGAGGAGGGGAGATAAAGGAGAATGATGGAGGGGGTGAATTCACTTGTGATGTAAAAACTTTTGTAAATGTCTCACTGTACCCCCAGCACAACAATAATATAAACAAACAAACAAACCCAGCACTACCAGGAAAAGAAAGAAGAAATTTTTTTTTAACATTTTTAACAAAAACAAGCCCCTCAAATGAAACACAAAGTGAACAGAGCATCCAGTGATGATGGGACAATACATAACCAAAAAAAATCAGAATCCAACAAGAAGATAGTATGAAGCAGTACAAATGCTTCAAAAGATAGCAGCCAAAAATTTCCCAATCTTAATGAACCACACCAAAGCACAGATTAAGAAACTCAGAGAGGCTGGCAGAGTGGCTCAAAGAATAGAGCACCTGCTTAGCAAGCATGACACCCTGAGATAAAACTCCAGTCCTGCCAAAATAAATAAGCTTAGAGTACAAGCAGAAAAAAAAACTATATAAACACAACCTGTGTAGACTAATAAAAATCAAAGATAAAGATAAAATCTTGAAGGCAACTAGAGGGAGAGAAAGAATATGTTTTACTCTCCTTCAAGTTCATCAATTTTTATTTGACGTATTTTGAAGATTTCCTGTCACAAAAATAAATGCTGTATATATACATTAATTGTTTTGTCTTTTTTTTTTTTTTGAACCTGGAGTCTTACAAATGCTAGGCAAATATAACACTTCTGAGCTATATCTCTAGTCCGTGTGCTATGTCTTCTGTAATTGACCCTTTTATCATTATGTAATATCCTTTTTATTCTTGGTAATATTGTTTATCCTGAAGTTTCTTTTCTCTTATTAATATAGCCACCCTGGCTTCCATTAGTGTTTGCATGAACACTAATGTTCACTGTCTCCATTCTTATAGTCTGTACCCATTAATAACTGTGGTTTTCTTAGAGAAATCATATAGCTAGGTCTAAATCTTGAGCCACTCCACCAGTCTTTTTTTGTGAAGAATTTTTTTTGAGATAGGGTCTCAAGAATTATTTGCCTGGCCTGGCTTCAAATTAATCCTCCTGATCTCTGCCTCCTGAGTAGCTAGGATTATAGGCATGAGCCACTGGTCTACGGTCAGTATGTTCTTTATTCCATTTTTTTTTTTTTCATTTTCTGCTTGCTTTTGGATTAATTCAACACGGCTGGGATTGGTGGTACATGCCTGTATTCCCAGCACTCGGGAGGCTCAGGCAAGGAGGATTATGAGTTAGAGGATAGCCTGGGCTACATAGCAAGTTCATGTCTAGCCTGACACAGTAAGAAGACCCTGTCTCAAAACATCAAACAAGCAGTAAGAAATATAGAAAAAGTGAACAACACTATCATCCACCTAGATTTATTTGTCAAAAACAGAATACTCTACCCATAAGTAGCATAATACACATTATTTCAAGTGCTCACAGAACACTGTCCACACACGTGTCACAAAACATTCCTTGACAAATTAAAATGAATTGAAATTGTGAAGAATGTCTTCTGACCAGAACAAAACTAAACTGAAAATAAATTGTAGAAAGTTATCTGGAGCCAGGCACAGATGACTTACTTGCGCCTATAATCCTAGCTACTCAGGATACATGAGATTCTATCTTGAAAAAAAAAAAAACAAAAAAACAAAAAACAACTCATCACAAAACAGGGCTGTGGAGTGGCTCAAGTGGTAGAGCACCTGCCTAGCAAGAGCGAGGCCCTGAGTTCAAGTCCAACTCCAAATATTACAAATTAAGTAATATACTTCTAATAACACATTGGTCAAACAGAAATTCACAGGGAGATTAGAATATATTTTAATTAAATGAAAATAAAAACAGCATATCAAAATCCACAGGACATGGCTAAAAAAGGTAAATTATAACATTAAAGGTTTATGTTAGGAAAGAAACAATTATCGACTCAATTATCTAAGCTGTCATTATATGTAACTAGAATGAGCAATTCAACTGAAACAAAAAAAGGAAATGATAAAGATATGAGCAAAAGATGAAAACAGAGGCTGGCAGGATGGCTAAAGTGGTAGAATGCCTGCCTGTAAGTGTGAGGCCCAGAGTTTAAACCTCAGTAACAGATTTAAAAAAAAAAAAAAGACAATTAAAAAAAAAGTAATGGGCTAGGTTTAAGCCTTGTATGTACATATGAATAATAAAAGAAAAAGGAAAAAAAACAGAGTTTGAGGCCATCCTGGGCTATATAATGAAATCCTATCTCAAAAAAAAAAAATCCAAAATAAAAATAAATAAAATTACCTGTACCCTAAAAAAAAAAAAAAAAGTAATGGGCTAGGTTCCGGTGGCTCACGCCTATAATCCTAGCCACTCAGGAGGCAGAGATCAGGAGGATTGTGGTTCCAAGCCAGCCCAGGCAAATAGTTCTAGAGACCCAAATCTAGAAAATACCATCACAAAAAAGGGCTGGTGGAGTGGCTCAAGATGTAGGCCCTGAGTTCAGTACTGGGGGAAAAAAAAAAAAAAAGTAATGAACCCACAACTCAGAGCTTTAAAAAGATCAGTAAAATAGAGAAGACCTCTATCTAATTTACCAGGGAAAAAAATACAAATTCCCAATATAAGGAATGAAAGAAGGGACATTACAAGAGATCCTATAGACATTAAAAGAATGAATAATAAACCAGGCATCAGTGGCTCAAGCCTGTAATCCTAGTTACTCGGGAGACAGAGATCATCAGGATTGAGGTTTGAAACCAGCCCAGGAAAATAGTTTGGAAAACCCAATCTCAAAAATACCCATCACAAAAAAAGGGCTGGTGGAGTGGCTCTAGCAAGTGTGAGGCCCTGAGTTCAAACCCCAGTATCAAAAAAAAAAAAAGAGAGAGAAGAATATTGCAATTTTGTCTCCATTAATTTGACAATTTGAGAGGAAATGGACCAATGAATTCCTTGAAATAAACAAATTATAAAAACTTGCTTGGAGAAGAAATAGATAACCTGAATAGTCCTATTATTTCTTAAAGAAGTTTCATTATCAAACTTAAATCTTGACAAAGAAAACTAGGTGGAGATGGCTTCATTTGATGAATTTTATCAAACATTAAAATTAAGAAAAGTGATCAATTCTACACAAACTATTATAGAAAACAGAAGGAACATTTTCTGAACCTTCCCCCCACCCTTTTTTTTTTATAGTTGGGGTACTAGGGATTGAACTCTGGGCTTCTCACATGCTAAACAAATGCTCTGCCACTTGTCAGTTGGTTTTTGAGATAGGGTCTCCTTAACTTTTTTACCCTGGCTAGCCTAAGCAGTGATCCTCCGTAAGACTATAAGTATGTGCCACCAAGTCTGGCCTAGCTCATTTATAGACAGCATGACCCCAATCCAAAGACATTACCAGTCTACTAAAGACCAATATTCCCTCATGAATATAAATGCAAAAATTCTCAACTAAACATTAGTACACCTGATCCAAGAATATATAAAACAAAAAAATCAATCTTCTTTTAATTACTTTAATCCATGCTTTAATCCTGACCTGGCATGACCCTGACCCAAAAAACAGGGTCTTTTCGTTCAACTGTAAGCACAGAATTTTATGTATCTAACTTTACAAAAAGGGACTTTCAATAAGAGGTACAGTAGACATTGTAATTTAGGAATTAAGAAGGTAATCAAAATTAAAAGCTTCATAAACACATATTCAACTAATGGGTGATTAGTCTATTTCCTTAGTTTCCAATAAATTTAAACAGTTATTAGCCTATACTAAAAATCTCAGTTTCCTCAGGGTTTCTAAGATTATGACACAAAGCATAATCCCCAATCTACTTTTTGAAGTGTATATCCAGTCTGGCTTAAATACTTACCTTCAACATGGCTAGTATCGGAGCAAGGTTTCTTTTTTGACTCAGCTTTCTCGTCAACATCCAGAAGAGGAATATAGTCTGTCTTCCCAACAGTTTCCCCCACAACATCATCAAAAGGCTCTGCCTCCAGTGTGGCAATGAAGTCCCGCTTTATCTCTTCCTCAATTTCTGGAGATGGCTCTGTCAATGCATCTGCAAGACTGAGGTCAGCCATTTTGCACCACTGCAACTTCCTATTAAAAGGAAAAGAGATGTTTCAATTGATAAGCACTGCAAATGGAAAAATGGAAAAATATCTTTATAAACTCTCATCAGTTATTTTAAAAAAAAAAAGAACCAAAATTTAAAATTTTGGAGCCAGAAGAGTACTCCTTGTTTGCAAAGTGAGAAAACAAAAGCTCAGAAACAACTATTCACTTTTTTTCTCACATCTCTGGGAAGTAGACAAAACAAAAGCTATTTTGTTCTTTTTATGAAATAAGAAAAAAAAAGTACAAAAAAAAAATCAACTTATCCAAAGTTATAGTAAGATCCAAATCAGGACTTTTGATTTCAAGTATCATACTCTTTCACCTAAGCCGTGTGTCTTCATTTCCAAGTCATAAAGAGGTCAAATTAGAATATTCCCATAAAATCAGATTACATTACTATTAGGCAAATAAAAATCATCTTTCTTGACTGAACACTGTGAGTATGGGCCTTATCATGGAATGAGTACTGCTTTATGAATCACTTGAGGATAGCCCAGTCACCAAACTACAACACTTAGCACTGGTGACATGAAAAAAATATAACGTTCCTTGAATTATACAGCAGGGATGGCCATGCAAATTACCAATTTTACAGAATTCCACGCTCTTAATTTTTAAATTTTTAAACAATATACTATAGGCAAAACTGTAAGTAACTAGTCTAGAAAATATCAAAATAATGCAGTAGCCAGGCGCCGGTGGCTCATGCCTATAATCCTAGCTACTTAGAAGGCAGAGATCAGGAGGATCCTGATTCCACAAGACCCTATCTCAAAAATAAACGCTTCACAGAAAAGGGCTGATGGGGTGGCTCAAGGTATAGGCCCTGAGTTCAAACCCAAGCACCACAAAAAAAAAAAATTAACTAATTAATTTAAAAATAATGTAGTAAAAAAATCCAAAGGAGAGGAATTCCAAGATGGCGGCTAGAGGTAGGAAGCAGAAAGCGAGCCTCCTATAGTGAAATCTTGGAGAGACGCTGGAGACACACTTTGC